GAGATTAGTACTATTAATTCTCTTAACCTTGAAATAGATTCTCATGATTCATAATTTTTGTACTACTTCAAACATGTATAATATATATGGTTTTCTTTAAAAATATTTGATGAAACCTAAGGAATGTTATTTTTTTGGGGATTGGTTTCATAGCATATTTTCCATAAATGATAAAACTATGAAGACTTATATTATATTGGCTACCTTTGTCTCACTTTATTGAGAAAAGCTAACATGCACATATAGTACAACCTTTTTTTTTAATGTGTAGGCCAAGGAAGTTGTTGGAACTTCTTTTGAAGAAGCTCATTTAAAGGCAACATCATTTTCAATAGAAAGAAGGTTCCGAATTTTCGGAGTATTGTACTGTTTTTATAAATCTTTGCCAGTAGGATGCATGGATCATAACTCTCGTTTGGACAGCTTTAACAAAATGCTCTTTTGGGGAAAAAATTGTGGAGAGTTTTTGAAAATAAATAAATATATAATTTAAATATGTTGAATTATGTGAAATTCAGAAAGCTTGCCCCTCGTTAATATTTTATCACAAATATACCCCTGTCGTCCAATACTTGCTCCAAATTATATACTCTTATTTTAAATGGTCCCCTATGAAGAGCATATTTGATCTCACGCGCATCCTATAAGAGCATATTTGGCCCATTAAAATTCTTAAGCGTTTATGTTATTGATTTGTCTTGTTTGATTCACAACAATACAATAAAAGTTTGTACTGATAAAATTCCCCTGAAATCATTTGCTTTCCTACTGTAAATATTAAACCATGTTTTCTACACTTTGCTTCTCTTTGTTCCTAAATCAGGCCTCTTTTAGTTTCTAAGCAAAGTGCACGTTTTTTGTTTATATGAAGCAAGTGTCAAGTAAGTAATTTACTTTTTGCTTTTGAGTTGAGTTTCGATACATATGATTGATGCAACTGATTTAATTATTGCCGATAGTGGATAGACTTGTCTGTTGTACTATTAGTTTTTATTATTGTGATAGAGGGAGTAACTATTTACTGGTGTTTTGAGGTATACGAGGTCATGGAGAAATTTACAAACTTTGTTTCTCTTTGTTCGCATTTAAGATTTACATAAGGAAAGCGACTGATTTATGAGAGATTTTTTCATTACAAATTTCCATAAATCAACAAGATCATTCAATAACTTAAAAGCTTAAAAAATTTAATGGGCCAAATATGCCCTTAAAATATGCGTGTGAGACCAAATATGAACTCCTAGAGGTGTTCATGGCTCTGTTTGGGTCTGTTTTCACCTAAAAAAGAAACCAAAATAATTAAGTCAGTTTGAAATCTTGAAACTAAACAAAACAAAACCAATTTTATCATTTTTATCGGTTTGATCGATGTCGGTTTTTGTCGATTTTTAAAAATATTTTTTGGTGATTTTTTATAAAAATATTAGACATACACTATTAAGCATATATATATATATATATATATATATATATTCTGGCGACTATATTCCAATCTAACACTATCAAATTAATTAATCTTTGATAAAAAATTTTATTTATCAAGATATATTGATGATAATTGAATTAAATAGTGATGAATATTTTAAAAATTTAATTAAAGGCAAGTTATATTAACATAATATACATTCTTAGACTTAATAAATTAAAATTACCAACAAAGAAGAATTTAAAGGCAAAAAACTGCATTATTGTAAAGGCAAAACACGAGTACGAACTTACAAATGATGAACATGTAACATACCGTTTACTTCACATAAGATATATGTGTGTGTGATAATAATAAGTTTTAAATATGTATTTTTATAGTCTGTTTGGTTCGATTTTTTTGGCTATTTTGTGTTTAAAATCAAAATCAAATCAAATTTAGTTGGTTTTTAAAATTCAAAATCAATAGTAAAAAATTATCAATTTTCTTATCGGTTTGACGGTTTTTGGTTTGGTTCTATTTTTTATAGCACTCATATATACTTCAAATGGTGCAGTTTAAAATAAGGGCTTTATTTGAATCAAGTGCTGGATGATAGAGGTATTTTGGTGCCAAAGTATTAACGACGGACAAATTTGTTCAGTGTCCCATTTTCAATGGCATATTTGAACATTTCTCGTTATAATATATGTTTGTTCGTTTCCAAAGAATTTATTTGAAAAATGTTGTCTAAGAATGTCCTTAAACACAAAAAGAATATAACAAGAAAAAAAACCGAACGAAAATAAACCGCAAAATTTCCAAAAAGAAGAGTATGCTCAATCTCAAAGGACCTTTGTGTTTTTCAATATTGCAAAAGAAGGAGTTGATGGACCCACTTAGCTGTTCAAATATGCCCACAAATTATTTCAGCAAGTTAAAAGATGGAGTAACTATTTTATAATTTTTACAGTCCTTTGACAATAATGAAAAAAAAAAAAAAAAAAAAAAAACATATGGTTTTATTATACGTGTAACATGTGGCGTTAGAGCGAGTTGCACAAGAATTAGCAAAAAAAGTACTGATATAACTGTCCAAGTTTCTCACGATTTTTTTTCTTTTCAAATTAACATTTAGAAAGATTTGAATAATTAACATTCGTTAGTTCAGGAAATATTCTTTAACAGTCTATTTATGGTTTTAAAGATTTCTTATGTTTTTCAAGACACCTGGTCTATGCCAAAATTTAGGACCCGTTTGGTCACAGATTTTGCCAAAATAAATTTGGATTTTATTTGACAGACATATTTTTGGCTATAGATTTTGCCTACATTTTGACAAAATCCGAAAACCAGCTCAAGCTGGTTTTGCCAAAATATTACTATTATATTTTTTAAAAATTATCCCAAACTTTTGTATTTCATAAAAGAGCCCACCATTTATTATTTTGTAACAATGTTGCTTCTTATTCTCGGTCATCTGATAGTGTATCATGTCGTTCATCACAAAAATGATAATTTTGTACCAAATTTATTTATGTTCAGGACTATGGTTTGCGATAATATGATAAATGTTATTGATTATGGTATTGTTGGGTATTTATGATAGTTTTTAGAACTTGTGGGCATAAGTCATGTTTCATGTTTTTCCAAAATAAATTTGGGAAATATATTTTGAAAACTGATGTCCTAATACATTTTTATCTTCAAACCAAATTTCACCCAAATCAGATTTTTCAAAACAAATTTGATAATCTATAACCAAACGCTAGCTTAAAATCACGGTTCGAACTCGTGACCTAGTCTATATTTTAAAGGAGGTCAAGACACCATCTATGTTTTTCAAGGAGGTCACGGCTCACATGGCAGTAAAAACACGGGAAGTTATAATTCATTTTTAAAACATATTTTCCTTTATGGTTAAACTACAATTTATTATTTTTTTGGTTTCACACTTAATGTTCGGTATTCACATTGGGACTCAATTAATTAGCATTCACTCCGAAAAATCCCACATTGGGAGTAAATCGTTCATTAACAAAGGCGACTCTATACCCTAGGATTCGAACCCGAAACTTTTGGTTAAAAATGACGGATTACTTACCACTCCACCACAATCCTTGTTGGTGGTTAAACTACAAGTTACTTGAGGAGTTTTGATATCATCAAATGAAAAATCAAAGTATTATGCATGTTTAGCTTAAGTTTAAAAGTCAAGCCTCAACGAAATTGCGAAAAATACTCTCTCATATAAAGTAACATAAGAAAAATAGTCTTGTTATCCAAGATCTTCCCCAAAAATATCACACTAAGACGTCGTTTGGTAGCTGGTTAGAAGAAAGGTTATTCATGTATAAGGGGTAACATAACTTATACCATGTTTGGTAGGCAATAGTTATTTTGTATAAAATTATGTATAACTAATACCATGTTTGGTTGACATTTTTCAATTATGCATAAATAATACATGTATAAGTTATGAGTCAATCTGTGTATTATTTTATGCGGGGTAGAAGATGGAATAACTAATACATGTATTAGTAATACATGGATAAAATACTGAAATGACAAATTTACCCCTATCACTTTACACATAAGACTTCCTTATTTCTCTGCCAACCCGTCAACAGGTTTCACTTGCTTTCACTTGCCAACTATATACTTTGTCTTCTCTCATTTTTAAAGAACAAATTAGCAAAAGCAAACTGGAGAAGCCACTAGAAAATGGAAATACCAAAACTAAGAAGTGAAAATCAAATATGTCTAAACTTCACATAGTTCAGTAGTATGACGAAGAAGTGAAAGTAACATCAAAGTTCCTAACTAAATTGTTTCCTACATAAATGGAAAGAGAGAAAAAATAATGCAAAAGAAGGCCAGGGGTATAGTTGTAAACAAGCATTTTACTTTAAAATTTATATAATGTATATCAATTTCTAATACAACAAACCAAACATTCAAAAAAATAATCTCTGCATAACTAATACCTGCATAACTAATCCCTGCATTACTTATCCCTGCATAACTAATCCCTGCATAACTAATACATGTATAACTAATACCTGCATAACTCTAACCGGCAACCAAACGACCCCTAAAAGGAATATAGGAGTTTGTCGCTAGATAGTGAGAAGCTTTATTGTGTATCAGTTGTGTGAACCACCTTTTTGTCTCATCAATTTGTGGACCCTAATTTTATATTTCTGGGTTCACAAAACTGTAAGACAAAAATTTAATTGTACGAAAACTGTGAGACAAAAATCTAATTGTACGAGACACAAAATAAAATATTCCCTGAATATTTAACCAAATAGAATAAACGTCAGTCGAACAGAAATAAATAAAAACTCACATACTTTTTATTTCTTTTAAAAGAAAATTTTTTCTCCTTTCAAACTATGGTTAAATAATATTTTGTCCAAAAGGCTCTTGTTCAATTCAAATCAATCCATTTCATTTCATTGAGAGATTCATCGACTGTGACAATATTCGCCGTCAAATCTAACGACGAAGAGACGTTAAAATCCCATCTCTTGTCCGCCAAAAACCCTTTAAATGCTAACCAAGTAGGCAAGTACTACTCTCTCTCTCTCTCTTACACGTTAAAGCTAAAATTTCTTGGCAATTATCACTTCAACACACCCACCACCCCCCACTCCAACCCCACCCCAACTTTGGCAATCATTGTACTACTTACTACTTCTTCCCCCTCCTGAATTCTACTCTACAGCTATCTCTCTCGCCGGAAAACTCATCGGAATTTTACCAGCACGTTCTTCTCCTTAATGGGTTTCTCTCTATATCAAGATTTACCGAGTTCTTACTGATCATATTTTTGTTTACTGGTAATTAACTTCTTGCTTTAAGCTTTTACTACTGGGATCGACACTGTTTTTATTTTTGTTCTCAATCTTTCTAGCTTGGTTTATGTAGCTAAATTACTTGTCTTTTTTTCTATCCTTTGTACAAGAATTGATCAATATAGCTTTGAAAGCAATAGAGTAATTCTTTTTTAAAGTTTTAACTGTGTATTTCTGTGTTTAAAAAGACTGTTTAAGAAGCCTAGTTATAGCTCAAAAGAGACATTCATGAAATTTTGTTACTGCCATTTTCTGTTCCTTTTGTTTATTCGCAACTGTTTTTTTATAACTGCGGGAAATGAAGTGAAATAAAAAAATATAAAGTTTTCATATCGGGGTTTGAATTAGGGTTTGTTTTTACTTGTTAGCAACTTCTTTGTTTTTCTTTCTTTACGTTTTACAGTATGTTTTCTTTTTCTTGTTACCAACTTCTTTGGTGTAAGTTTACTCGTGGTAAATCTTTCCTTCCACACATTTTTAATCAATTTGTGGCAACTGTTGTAAAGAGATAGCTTGGTAAAATGTTGTTGCTTGTCCTATAAGGCTAATTCTAGGAGACATTACTGCCTATCATTTCAGACTCTGTGGTAAAACTTTTAACAGTAGTAAATTTTTGGACTGGAATTTGTGTCTCCTTCCCTTCTTCGTCCCCGTGTGTTACAGTGGTCTTTTGACATTTATTCTCGTGCCGATGTCTACTGGAGACAGGCTCTCTACATTCATGGTAGGGGTGAGGTCATAGTTTGTACCGTCCCCGTACCCCACTTGTATAACTACACTGGGTTTGTTGTTGTTATTGTTGTATCTTTTTATTCTTCACCTATCTTTTGTGTCTCTGGAACTCTATTAATTTCTCATTTATTGTTTCCCATCTGCTTCCTATGTATCTATTTTACCTACCAGCTTGGACTTCCTGTGCTATTTCATGTTACTATACTACTCTAACATTATAACATGATGATATTTGTTTCTACTTCATTTACGCCTTCTATTTTCGTTGAACACTAAATTTTCCAGTTTCTTGGACCATGCAGGCATTGAATGATAAAGATTAAAAGTGGATCATAACGAAACACTTGAAATTGTTCGAGTGATTGGGTTTTAATTTTCTAGTTTGAGATGAGCGACCAAACGTCTGAATTTCATGTAGCACAACAAAGCAGGAGAGAAAGGTTTAGGTTTAATTCGGAGCAAGGAATTCAACCATATCATTATGGAAATATTTCGTATGATCCATCTGTATTGTCGACTGAAATGTTTAATTTCGGTACAAGCACGGAACCTGTTGTAGTGTCAAATAAGGATACTATGATGATGCATAATCTAGAGCTGCGAGCTGCAAGTGATCGGCTTGATCATAGAGTTAGTCATGATGTTACACAAAATTGTAGCAATTGGAAAAGCATTGATTTGCAGCAGACCGGTAATTGTAATTGGAATAATGTTGGAAATTATTCAAGTGGATCTGGAGTTGTTATTGAAAGCAATTTAAGTACTCCAATGTTTGTAGGGGATCAAGGTTTATCGGGATCGTTGAATTTGAATAATGTTTCTACCATTGATGTGAAGCCCAATTTTTCCGATTATCAAGAAATACAGCAGTCTCCCGTGACTAATTCATCCTCTAATATGCAATATAGTTCCACCGCAGTACTTTACCATGATACTCTTCAACAAGTTGTCACTTCTGCCACCGTTGGAACCCGAGGTGTAGAAATGCCTGGCTGTGGTTCGTGGACGGAGAGCGGGAATGAACTTCTTTTGCTTCCAAATTATGTTGATCATTCTCGCCCATTACACGTGAAAAACTCTTCTGACTTAGTAAGTAGGCCGGTTGAGAGATGTCATCAATGGATTAGCTGTGAATTGGGTACAAATGTTAGCACTAGTACTGCTCCTGATAATTCTAACGCTCAGGCATTAGTTCTTTCGCTCTCACCGGTTTCAACATCAAAAACAAATATGGAACAGATAGAAAAAAGACATGCATTATGTGAAAATTTTGCAATTGCACATCGGAGTGCTGTGCCACTTGGTCCTTTCACTGGTTATGCAACTATACTGAAAAGCTCAAAGTTTCTAAGGCCGGCGCAACAGTTGATGGATGAACTTTGCAACCTTGCAGCTGGTTCGAACGCCGTTACAAGTTCCATTTTCTCGAAGAAAGTTCGTGAGGGTGGTGTTAGGGTTTCTGGTGATGTTAGTGCTGCTGAGTCTTCATCAGGAGCCATTGTCGGAGATTCGGGTGGCTCATCAGCTGAATCCAATGGGCGGCCTGATTATTTGCAAAAGAAGGCGAAGCTAATATATATGCAGGATGAGGTTTGTGCAATATTTCCTTTTATCTAGCTTAAATTAGTGTAACACAACTGATGTTTTAGTTTTCTTGCATACCATACTTTCCAATCGAAAAAATGTTTAATCTGCTGTACAATGTAATTTTCAGAAGGTTTTATAATTTTGCAATATAGTGTATCTAGAACTTCTCAAGAGTTCTCATTTTCTTCTATCTGTGAATCATTTTCTTGCATGCATCCCCCACTGTTATGTCTTGTAGAGTTGTGTTACAAGGTAGATTATCTTTTTTTTTAACAACTGACAAAGCCCGACAGCGTAGTGGTGTACTTACGGTTTGAAGCTCGGCGGATAATGAGCTTGCCCTTCTATCCTTCTATAATAAAATCTCAGATAGTCTGCAGTGCAGCTCGAACCATTGACATGCTGACGTGTGTCCAACCAACACATCACGTGTTGTGCTCTTAGAACTAGATTAGCCTGGCCTGGCGGCGTTTACAAATGATAGTATCCTTCAAAATATCTGCATAATAAGAATGAAGATATACCATGCATTAGGAAATGCTTTTCTTTATCTTCGTTCTTGTGCCGACTTTTTGAAGGGTGTTTGTATAGTTATCTACTTTCTAGTTTCTAGTAGGCCGATGTTCCAATTTCAGTTTCATTTGATAGGGACATCATTTTAGCTAACAGTTGTCGCTAAACTTCTAACTTGAAGCATTGATGAAATAATGGTATCTCACTATGTCTCTTTTCTTATGTAAAATGGGACATGGTATAGTATCTCTAACATTTGGAATAAATTATGAGCCCTAATTCTGAACTAGAAGCATTGATGATTATCGATTGTAGTACTTGTTAGTTAGTTGTTATAGTAGTGCACCCTTCTGTATAAAATTCATGTTAGGTACATTGACTTATTTGCGTCTTACTTTTATAAAATGATCACTTGGTTGTAATTAAAATTAGACTTGCTGATGTCGAGTAATCGGGAAGTGATTACTGAGGGTAGTATTAAAAATTGTAAACTCCATTTGTCGATGAACGAAATCATTGAGAAAGGTTCATATGGAGTTGCCAGTTTGATCGAGTGCTTTCACCTGATGGAATTTGAGACTTGGATCAAAGTACTGGGAAGTTGATCTTAATATGATATATTGTACACTAGCTACATTAGTACTCCTTGGGTTTAAATCTCCCTTGCTTAAGACTATCTTCTTAGATTGGTGATTTCGGATGGTTTCGCTGAAAAATTACACTGTTTAGTTACTGATTCTTGCAAATATGCAACTTGTTAAAGGTACATGGCAAAGAGACTGTTGGTTGCTTTTGTTGTAGGACATAGTTCAACTTTTTGAACCCACTGTTTTTTTTCTTTGCCGATCGATCTATGATTTGTTGCCTTTAACATCTACGTTCTACATCTAGCATGAACATTTATTTACTCAACAAAGAGCATTGCTTTGAATAGAATGATTTTCAATCAATGATGTTTTGTTTAGTGACTTTTTTAAAGTAGAATCTCATCATTTAAAGACCATACTTTGATGTTCTCATGGTTGTAAAGCAATGTCCTAACCAAGTACGTCTGTTGCCGACATCTTTTAAAAAATTACTTGTTCTACCAATTGATTTGACATTCTACCACAGATTAACCCAACTTCAGTGTCAAATTATTGGGACTAAACTTGTATTTGAATTGTTAAATATAGTAAAGTCCATAAATAAAAGGGGAGCTACTTGGCGTAAGTCGTAAAGCTGCCGCCATGTGACCAGGAAGTCACAGGTTCGAGCCGTGGAAACAGCCTTTTGCAGAAATACAGGGTAAGGCTGCGTACGATAGAACATTGTGGACCGGCCTTTCCCCGGACCCCGCGCATAGCGGCAGCTTAGTGCACCGGGCTGCCATTTTTAGTAAAGTCCAGAAATATATGCAACGAATGGAACATTTTCCACTATATTGCTTCTTTATATTTGGTGTACATTTAATTTAGAGTAGAACTATATCGACTTAAATATACTTGTGACAGATTTGTAGAAGATACAAACAGTATCATCAGCAAATGCAAATGGTGGTCTCATCCTTTGAAACTGTGGCTGGGCTTAGTGCAGCGACCCCTTACATTTCCTTAGCTCTCAAATCAATCTCGCAACATTTTAGATCATTGAGGACTGCCATCTCGGATCACCTAAAGAATATAAGGCAAGCATTAGGTGAAGACTTGCCGTCCCCTGCAACTGGCATGAGCAAAGGTGATGGAACTTCATCGAAGATGAAATTCGTTGACCAGACTTTACATAAGCAGAAAGCTGGTGGAGCCGGGGTGGCCTTTTTTGAATCCCAGCAACATGTCTGGAGGCCCCAACGAGGCTTACCCGAGCGTGCTGTGGCTATTCTTAGAGCTTGGCTTTTCGACCACTTCCTTCACCCGTAAATCTTTATCCTAGATCTCTCTCTTCAATTTTAATAATTGTTGAAAATTCGTTTTGTCTCACCGACTCCATGTAATAATGTTTTAAATGAACTTTTTTTTTTACTTGTAGGTATCCTACAGATAGTGATAAACACATGCTGGCCACTCAAACTGGCTTAACTAGAAACCAGGTAGGTCTTTCGACCATCCTTAAGGTTTGCAGTTTATCGAAACAAATGCTCGTCTTTTATATTCTACATTCATGGCATTGCACAAATATGATGTCTGATATGTTTAATACAGGTTTCTAATTGGTTCATTAATGCACGTGTGCGTGTGTGGAAACCCATGGTTGAAGAAATTCATACGCTGGAGACTAAAGGATTGGGAGATCAAACCGGCTCTAGTGTCAGAAGATCAGACGGGAAGCTTGTGACAGAACGACCAAACCATGTAAATGATGGATTGAATAGAAGTAGTATTAGCATTTCAAATTGTGGCCAACACTTCAATGTACTCAACATGAGTGGCATGTCAGAGAAGCAAGATGACTGCTCAGGGATCGGCCCCTCAGAACGATTAGACGAAGATATATTGTGGAAGAATCAAGAAAAGCGGTCAAGGTTAGAGTGTCACATTCCTGCTAGCATGGATGGTTCGTTAATGGGGTTTGTACCTTACCAGAGAAATGGACTTGAAATCGGAGGTATAGGAGCTGTGTCGTTGACACTGGGTCTAAGGCAAAATGCTGAGGCTGCACAACAACAGCAACAGTTGCAACAACTACACGAACATCGACTCAGACAGCAGTTTGGAGGTCAGATGATTCATGACTTTGTAGATTGAATGGTTTATTATGACAATTGTCTAGCAAGTTTAAGTTTAAGCCGCGTAAAGACATCACAAGATAAATGTGCTGAATTTTGTTGATATATTGAGTAGTGAAAGGCACCATAAAGGTATGGGGAAAATAGTTGTAGATTATCATTTATGTAGTAGTAAGTATAGGGGGCTTAACCATATATTATGACAAGGCTCTTGAATTATGATTCTCAAATACAAGCTATATGGAAATGCAACTTAAGGATAAAGGAATCCTAAGGGCATACACAGAATTTTTAGAAAGCGGTATCACCATTTAAAGAAGTGAATGAATATATTGCTATTACATATTATTAAGAAAATGAAATTTGAATCAGATGAATAAAAACTAATTCAAGTACATTAGTATAATTTTTCTCGATAAAATATTTATTTTTCTAGAAAAGGTTCATGATAGCCTTATTAGAAGTAATACTAGTACATCATAAGCTGAAATAAATAATTATTGCTGTAATTATTATGGAGGTATCTTTTACTGACAAATGTATCTTGTTCTTACCTAGTAGATCATATTTCACATGCCACTATTCTTTTGACAAATGAAAGCAATCTATAATGCAAAGTCTCTCTCTTTCCAATGTTTTGTTACTTAGCGAAGTAGCAAGCTATTAATCATGTAATAAAAGATTTTTATTTAAAATATGGATATTTGAATGAAAAATAAAATTACGATTGAGTTAAAACTACTTTTGATACAGGTTTAGTCCCTTGATAAGTGGAGTCCTCCTAATTCTTCTATTAGATACGCGAATTTTTTATTAAAAAATTATCCTTCTATAATTTAATTTTTTTTATATACTTGAAATAAAAAATAAAATAACTTTATTCTTCTCTAATTCAAATAAGCTAGATACGCAGTTGATGCAAACGATTATAAAATTCTACATATTATTAACAACGTATGATGTGTTTGGATCACGAGGGAGTATTTTTAACCTATCAATAATATATCACATATTTGACACTAATATGACTCTATTTTGAAATATCCATAAAGAATAACGAGAAATTCAAATTTTACGAAAAGACTCCTTTTCGTTCTCTAATTTTAGATTTACCAAGAATATAACTATCTTTTAAAATTCAATCATTCGTAATGCTTACCACAAAATATGGCTTATGTATAATTGAATAAATAGGTATGAATATTTTTATAAATAAATATTTGATCAAACTGACTCTACTACAAAATATGGTTACAAAAGTTAACTTTTTAAACGAAATATCGAGTACCAAAATGAGTTGGAACTTGAAAGTTCGAGTTGTGAGATTATGGCACATTCACTATTGTCTTTGAAAAAATTCTATTTGATTATAAATAATTAGTTAGACAAATTCCATATAACAAATAATCAGTTTCAAATAATAAATTTTAAGCGGTAAATGGTTTTTTCCCTCAAAAATCATAGGAAAAAAATGACCAGTTGGAGATTCTTGATTGAAATAACGAAAATATTGCATGTAAATTAATATGTATTTTTTCATTATGAATAGGTAATTCAAGCGAGAAAGAATCGTCTAGTTCTCGCGATATGAAATGTGCCAAAATTTCACAACTCGGACCTTCAAGTTACAACCCATTTTAATACTTGATACTTCGTTTAAAAAGTTAACTTTTGTAGCCATATTTTTGCAGTATATCAGCTTGATCAAATGTTTATTTGTATACAATCTATATCTATTTATTCAATCGTACATAAGCTAATTTTAAGCGGTGAAAATTAGGATATTGATAAGAATTTAAAAAGATACTTATCTTAGGGTAAATATAAATGTAGAGAACGAACAAGAGTTTTTTCTTCAAATATGAATTTCTTATTAAATTTTATGGTTCTTCTAAGATAGAGTCACATTAGAGTCAAATATATGATATATTATTGATAGAAAAAAATACTTTATCTTGATCAAAACACATCAGAAGTTGTTATTGATATGTATTAAAATTTGAAAATTCTTACATCTGGCTTATTTAAATTAGAGAAGGGTAAAGCAATTTCGATTTTTATTTCATGAATCTAACATAATTTAAATTATAGAAGAATAAAATTGTTTTCTACAGCCGTAATTGAAGAATTAAGAGGACTCCACTTAAAGGACTTAAACGTGTATTAGAAATAGTTTTGATAAAATTCTAATTAAACCGAATAGCTTAACTTTTAATTTAAATTTTAAAATTTTGTTTTTCTTAAAAATATACATGTTTTATTAATTTTTTTTTTTATTACAAATAGTTTATAATTTTGTCTTATGATTGTTAAGTAGCTTTTTAGTAGATTGCTTTCATTTATCAAGAGAATAATGGCATGTGCAGATCTGATCTAAGAGATAATGATGGGGTAAATCTATCAGTCAAAGGTACTTTCATGAGAATTATAGTAATATTTTTTTTATTACAGCTTATTATGTAATATTATTTCTTTTAAGTCTATCGTGATCTTTATTAAAAAAATAAAAGATTTATCTAAAAAGGTTATACTAATGTACTTGAATTGTTTCTATTAATATGATGTGAATTCTATTTTCTTAATAAGATGTTATAGTGATTGGCTCATTAACTTCTTTCAATGTTGACACCATTTTTCAAATATCATGTATATGCCGATGATAATAGGTGAATTTAACTATAATCACGCCTTAAATAATCACCTTCTTGTATAGTTTTGATGATAAAAGTGATAACAAAATGCTCTTATTAGTGCTTTTCATGATTTGCAGGTGATATATGATCAGGGAAGGCTAGGGAGTATTTTTGGAGTCAAAAATGAAGAAAAAGAGGCCAACTGTGAAATTCCCCAAGGAAACCACGCAAAACAGGCCTGAAGATTCAGAAGACTGGGTTGACCGCGGACGGTGGAAAATAGCTGCGGATAACTTCAGATTCAGAGAAGACATTTGGCCGCGGTTTGACCGCGACCGCGGCAGAACCGCGGCGGAAGCAGAAAACTTCAGGGACTAAAGTGTAAAATACGGGATTTTTAGACCTAAACCCTATTTTAAATACACGACTTCGCCCAAGAGAGGCATGTATTGAATTTTAGAGTATCTTGGTAAGGAAAACAATTGTGAGAGATCACCCAAAATATCTTTCTTCTTTTCTTTGATTTTTATTGCTAGTCATGATGAATTCTATCTTAGTTTGTTTTCCCATAGCCATGAGTAGCTAAATCCTTTGTCTAAGGCTTTGATGGAACCTATTGGGGGATGAACATCTTGTTTATGTGAATACAAATTGCTAGTTTCAATCTCTATTTGTTCACTTTGTGCTTGTTGTAGTTAATTGATAGGATCCTCAATTAGCTGTGCCTATTTAGTGTGCATAACTTGGAAAAGAGTGCATATTTAGGTTATTGTTGAACAACACCACTCCCAAAGTATAAGAGGAATCTATAATTGCGGGTTTAAAGGCGGGATTAGGGATAACGAAGCCTTGGGTGTAATCTAAAGTGAATTGTGCTAAATAAAGTAAGCTAGTGTATCTCGGGAGAGTGCAACTAGTATATTACTGTAATTACACGGGAGAGACTTACGGTAAGATGAGCGTTCATGATTAATAGAGATGTATTGGTAAATATGTATGAGCATAAACAGAAGGGATTCTTTCAGTAGGGGAAATCATTGCCTTAGCTTCTTCTCATCATTGTTTACAACCTTAGCATTTTAATTTACAGCTGTTTGATTTACTTGCAATCGTAGTTAGTAAAGCAACCTTCAACTGTGATTCAAACATCTGGAAAACTGGTTCTGAAGAGTTTAGTTGGTCTAAAGATAGTGATTGATAGGTTAACTCTCTGTGGATTCGACCCTGGGCGTAATACTCGGGTTATATTTGCAACGTCCGCAGAGTCCTTTTTATAAGGCATAGTTGGGCGTGATCAAATTTTGGCATCGTTGCCGGGGAGTTAACGGAATTATCAATTACCATTGATAGAAATACAAAAATTCTTAGTGTGGTCAGTTTTCTCTCTACCCAATTTTTCATAGAAATTTTGACGGTTGTTGATCTGGGTGCACAGGTGTATGCCTAGAAATTCTACGAGGACTGGAGAAGTACTTGAAGGACTCTCAGACCCCGAGAAAACATTCCGGGCATTGAATCGTGCCAACAAAAGACTTCAACAATCCCAACAAACACACAAATTCGAAATTGACATGGGAGACGTAAACGATCCCAACGGAAACGTCAGGAATGAGCAATTGGCACCTCCTGTGCCTGAGGGTGCACTATATGACTGGGCACAACCCACAGCTGACAATCTGGCCACTGCCATTGTTGTGCCCGCAATACAAGCTGAATCGTTCCAGATCACAAATAACATGCTACACTTGTTGCAGAACAAGGGACTCTTTTCTGGGACACAAACAGAATATTCTCAGCAGCACTTGAAGAACTTCCTGTCTATATGCAAAACTCAAAGGCAACCCAACGTGACTCCGGAAGCAATCAGGCTATTATTGTTTCCATTCTCGGTGACAGGAGCTGCTCAGGTTTGGCTAAACTAGCTCCCCATAAACTCTATAGAAACTTGGGATGAGTTAGTCAAGCAATTTCACAACAAGTTCCATCCGCCCAACAAAACTGCTCAACAAATTGATGAGATTGTGAGTTTCAAACAGAAACCAATGGAGACACTATACGAGACATGGGGCAGGTTTAAAGGAATGTTGGTTATGTGTCCCCACCATGGTGTTCCAGAACAGATGTTGGGACAACGGTTTTACATGGGACTGTCTGACAGCATGAAAAATATTGTCGATGCCTCTGCTGGTGGGGCGTTCTTGAGCAAGATTTGGAGAGAAGGTCAGAATTTGCTTGACAAGATGACGCAGAATTCGGGATGGACAACTAGGAACGCACCTATCACTCCAGTGGTGCACTCAGTGCCTCTTGATCCTTCTAATACAATGGCTAAAAATATGGCGACTCTCTTGACACAAATGAGCATCCTCACCAAAAAGGTGGAGGATTCAGGGCAGGAGCAGCAGGTACATATAGTAGATACTACCAATGGGGGCTTATGCACATCTTGCATTAGCCAGCCAATTGGTAATCCTTGGAATGCAGAGCATGATCATCATCATTAGCACCCTGAAGATATGAACTATGTGGCTAACTATGGGGGTCAGAGGCAAGGTAATCAGA